CATCACTGACCACAATAACACAGTCTATTAGTAAAGCCATAGCTTGAATTTATATCTTCAGACTCCTGGATCATGCTTGTTACACTACACGATGTGATCCATAATCCTGCATTTACCAAAATAGGGTTTTTTGTTTTCCTTTTGGCTTATATCCTGTGACAGATAGGATTCTAAGATCTATCCCAAGATCTCCCTCCCTGCTCGCCCTTTACATACATGCCTTGCATTAATCCCTGGGGTGTTAATATGTCATTATAGGGCAAAGTTGACTTTAAGATAAGGAGATTGTCTGGATGGGCCTGACCTAATCAATGAGCCCTTTAAAAGCAGAGAGCCTTCTCGGTCTGGTGGCAAGAAGAGAAGGAGATGTGCCCAGCTGGTCTGGAAGAAAGCAAATATCCACAATGGGAAGGGCTTGAGAGTGGCCAGCAGGAGGTGAGGGTGGTCCCGACTGAGAGCACACAAAATAGGGACCTCAATCCTACAACTGCAAGCAACCAAATTCTGCCAACAACAAGAACGCACTTGGGGATGGACTTTTCTGCAGAGCCTCAGCCTGATGAGAATCCAGCCTGGCCAACATCATGATTTCGGCCTGTGATCCCCTGGGCAGAGAACCCAGTCATGCTGTGCCAGGTTCTGACCTACAGAAATGTGAGCTAATAAATGGGTATTGTCTTAAGCCATTAAGTTTGTGACAATTTGTTACATGACAATAGAAAATGAATTCATTTTCCATTTCCTTTCTAACAGTAGAGCAGCAAGAACAAGACCAGGTTTCTTTAATTGTCATACAGTAAAACTGACTTTTTTGGTATACAGTTCTATGAACTTTAACACATGTATAAAAGGCGTATAACCACCATCACAATCAGGATACAGAACAATTCCATCACCCCAAAACACTTCTTGTGGCGGTCACATCTGACCCTCACTGTTAATCTCTGGCAAACACTGATCTGTTCTCTGTCACTAAAATTATGTCATTTCAAGAATGTCATAAATGCAGTTGACCCTTGAACAACATGGGTTTGAACCATGAGGTCCACTTATAGGTGGAATTTAACTAAAATAGGTGTACTGATTCAATACGGTACAGTACTCTAACTGTATTTTCTCTTATGAGTTTTTTTAAGATTGATTGATTGATTTGTCAGAGAGAGAGCACAAGCAGGGGGAGCTGCAGGCAGAGGGAGAAGCAGGCTCCCTGCTGAACAGGGAGCCCGATATGGGGCTCAGGGCTCCATCCCAGGACCCTAGGATCATGACCTGAGCCAAAGGCAGACACTTAACTGACTGAGCCACTCAGGTGTCCCTCTTATGATTTTCTTAATAACATTTTCTTTTCTCTAGCTTACCATATTATAAGTTTTAAGTTATTTTATTTCACACTAAGTTATAGTAGTTACATTTTGGGGGAGTCAAAGTTATACAAGGATTTGTGACTGCATGGAGGGTCGATGTCCCTAATGCCTGCGTTGCTCAAGGACCAATGTAATATATAATCTTTTGAGACTGGCTTCTTTCACTCAGCATGATACCTCTCAGATTCATCTAAGTTGTGTGTATTCATAGTTCCTGGAACAGCAAATTTTTAAAACTCTTTATCTAGAGATTTAAAAACTAGAAAAAAATGGGTTACCTGGCTGGTTCAGTCGGTAGAGCATGCAACTCTTGATCCCAGGGTTGTGAGTTCAAGCCCCACACTGGGTGTACTTAAAAAAAAAAAAATAGAAAAAAGTACCAAGAATAAAAGGATATTGACACTAGAAGGGATCTTTGATATTATCTGGTCCCACCCTATGCTTTTACAGATAAGGAGTCTATATCCAGTGAGGGTTGAGGACTTGCCCAAGATTGTTCAGGCACAGGAGAGGAGAGAGATTCAATCTTCTTTGCAGTCAAGTAAACCATCAGAATCTATAAAATGTGATAAATGTTAAAACTTGGGGAGAAACAAGTATTAATGGAGCGCGGAAAATAAATATTGTATAAACTCCTTTCCATGGCTAATGATAGAGAATCAATTCAAACTAACTTAAAGCCAACAAAATAATTCATTGGCTCACTTAATTTAAAAAATTCAGGATGACTAAATAAACAAACAAACAAACAAATAAATAAATAAATAAATAAATAAATAAATAAAAATTCAGGATGGTGCAGTCTTCAGGCACTGCTGAATCCAGGAATTCCCAAAATGTTGTTAGAGGTCTCAACATCTCTCAATCTCTTATTCTCCTCTTTACCCTTTTGGTCTCCTTCTTTCTTGCATGGTGGCCTCATTCTTTCCTGTCACAGGCTCTTGCTATCTGCCAGGATAGATAAATACTGGTAACTCAAGCCTACAATCTTATAGTTTCCGATCCAAAAGGAAGATGGATGCTTTATCTCCAATAATTCCATTGATCAAACCTCTGGCCATTCCTTTTCAGTTTCCTTCACTGGTTTTTCATCTCGCCAATCTGCCCTTGAACTGCTTCTCTTCTGTAGCTATACTCACTCCCTAGGTGATCTCATCCAGTATCATCAATTTACATACCATCTACCCCCAAAGGTCTCCAGCCCAGACCTTTCCCCCCACACTTCAAACTTGTATATACAACTGCTTACATGACATCTTTACTTGGCTGTCTTTGTCTAACAACCATTTCAAATATAACATGTTCAAAGCCAAACTCCTGATCTTCTCCCACAAACATGACCCTCTTGCAATTTTCCCATCTTAGTAAATGGCAATTCCATCCCTCTAATTTCTCAGACAAAAACCCTCAGAACCATCCTTGATTATTCTCTTTCATACTTCACATCAATTCTATCATTAAAATTTGTTAGTTCTACCTTCAAAATGGATCCAGATTCCAATCTCTTCTTACCATCTCTACTACTACCTCCCTCCCTAAACCATCAGCATCTATCCCCTGAATTATCACAAAAGCCACACAACTGGTCTCCTTCTTTCCTTCCTTGCTTCTTGGAGTTCATTTTCAACACAGCAATCATAGGGATCTTCATAAAACACAAATCAGATCATGTGTCTTCTCTACTCAAAATCTCCAATGTGATTTCTATATACGGCAAAACAGTGATCTCCAAGATATAATAATAAGTGAAAAAAAGGAAGGTGGAGAAAAATGTGTATGGTATCTACCATTTGTCTAAGAAAGAAAGAGAAGCATACAAATATATATGTGTTTGTGTATATTTTTAAGTGAAGGGATAAACCATAAAATTTTTTTAAAAAGATTATCTATAGGGAGAGGAAGGGAAAATGACAGAAGGGTCAGGGAAAGAATCTAGACTTCTCTAAATGTACTACCTGTTTGGTAAATTTTGGCTTTGAAACCATGTAACTGTTTCACAAAACAATTTTTTTAAGGCAACGCCTAAGAATCCAAAGCAAAAAGAAATAAACCTGACTATCAAGTTGGTGGCATAATCTCACAGAGAGGAACTATTCCAAGTGACTGTGTTTATTTATTTTTAAGAAATCTCTACACCTAACATGGGGCTCAGACTTAAAAACCTGAGATCAAGACTTGCATACTCTACCAACTGAGCCTATCAGGTGCACCTCTCCCCAAGTCACTTTGAAGCAATGCAATTTGACTATACACACCTAGAGAGATATACTCTAAGGGCAAAAAGAATTGCAAAAAAAAAAAAAAAGGCCGAAACTTATCAGTAAGCATAGGCTTAGTAATCATTTTAGTAATGTTATTCTGAAACTATTTTATATATACAGTAGGATAAAGCAATTATGTTAATTATGTTAATTAATTGTTATCGACATATGTAATTATGTTAATGTCATTAGGCACCAAGATTTTCAGAAGAGATATGCATATAAAATCAAAGTTAAGTAAAATCTGTGTAATCCTAAGTTTGCATTGAAAATATTAATATAAATGCATGATGCATTTTCTCAAAAAATATGTGTGTATATCTAAATTTTTTAGATCTGTAGGCTAAAAAGGCTTACAAACAATAATCAGCCCAATAACAATGAACATTTGTAGCATCCAAATCATTTTCTCTAAATATCACTTTCCCACTTAAAGGAGGGCTCCTTGGAGAAATGACTGATTCCAAGTCTGGAGTAGAAAAAATACTAGATGAACCTACAACATCTTGTCACCAGAAATTGAGGCATCTTGGGTAGGGGATGCTGCTTCTGATGCTCAAAGTAGTGTGGTTGGTTTGGGAAAATTCAAAGAGCTGTACACTTACACTGTATGCACCTTTCTGTATGTGTGCTATACTGCAACTAAAAGTTTGTATCTACTCTTTATCATGGAGAATATCAAACGTGTTAGTATAATGAACATCCCTTTCCCCATGATCCAGCTTCAACAGTGATCAAAAACGGTTATTCTCATTTCATCTATACTCCACCTACTTCCCTCTCTTCAGTATTTGTAAGCAGATTTCATTTATCCTACCGGTTCATCGAGGATTATGTTTAACCCATAATCTACGTAAAACACGTAATATAAAACACGTACATACATAAAAACAGAACATAATACACAAAGCAAGTGTTGTAAAGGTAACTTACCAAGGATCATACAATACCTTCCCAGGAGAGTGTTTTGGGGGTGGGGTGTGTAGGTAGGAGACAGCGTTTAAAGAAAAGTTTCGAGTGTGAATGTTTTTAGAGCGTCCCCAAACTCTCGATTCGACAGTCTCACGATTTCCTATTGTTTTAAAACCCTGTCACCCTTTTATTTAACGTTGCCGTTCCTGGGATACTCTTGTATTGGGGATCCCTACAAGGAGAATGAGACTGAGTGGGGAACAAAATAAGCAGCTTGAAAGGCATCTCACCTTCGTTATTTTGCCTAGGGAACGCCCTATCCTGTCACACTGTACAACGGATGCATCTGCCTTTCTTAACTGAAGCCCTTATCTCGTAACCGCTCAGTCTGGTTAGGACAGAACCGAACTGTACTGTTGTTCAAAGAACTACAAATCCCACAAGGCCTTTCGGCTGAGGCGCCTGCGCATCGCGAGCTCCTTCCTTTCCCCTCCCCATCAAGGGGAAAGACCCGCCCCGCGGTGCTGTCGCTCGCGCTGGAAGAAGCGGAAGAAGATGGCGCTCACCAGGTGGGTTGTTGATGGGGGTCCTCGATACGGAAGGGTCTGGGAGAACCCACCTTTTTCATTTCTCTGCCCACTGTCTCCGGGCGCTGACCTGGCTCGGGACACAGAGCGACGTGGGCTGCGACTACGGCTAGGCCCTGCTCCCGGCTTCCGGGGCGACTAGGCCTCACTGAAGCTGGGGTCTTTCCTGAGCAGTTTCCCGGGTTGAGTTCGTCCCCTCACTAGGGCCGAAAGCCTCGGCGTGGCGAATAGTTCTCCGGCCTCAGATGCCAAGGAGTCGCACGTGTTTTTCGCTTGAGCATCTTGGGGTTGTGGAGAGCGCTCCGTCTGGTCCGCGGCTCGGGCGGACACGGCGGGGCTGTGCAGGGCAGTGGCTTATTTGAGCGAAGTGAAGCGGCGGGGGCCGACTGTCCGGCTTACCGCCGTTCGTCTGCCGACGTCTCGCCTGTGCCCCGAAACAAGGATTCCTGAACAAAAAGGGGCGGCCGGCACTGAACAGAGATTTTTTTAAATAGCCACTGGTGGTGGCCACTGTCTACTAATAATGCGCTGCTGCTCCGCACTTTTAACTTTGGACCTTAGAATTTCTTCCGTAGATAGAACCCCTTCAGGTTTTTGCTGTTCCCAGTTGCCTTGGTAACCGCATGTAAAGTGGTCCCCGCCTTTGAGAAAGAGGTGCTTAACTGGGAGATTCCGAGGAGTTACATAACTCCTACTAGTCCGCGACCTTGTTGCCCCATCTAAGTAGAAAAACTTTCCCTGCGGATGAAGCAGGAAAAGTTGAGTTGTCAAAGATGGTTGTAAAGAAAGTAATCGTTTTAGGACATAAGCTTGAGCTCCCTAAACACACTTGATTCTCCTCACACTTATTTTTCCTGGCTGATGACAGTTAATCCCGCAAAACGTTTTAATCAGAAAATTCTTGGGGGAATTAATTTTGGGTGCCTTGTTCTATCCTAGGGTTTGTGTGTATACAAAAAGAAATCTAACGGTCTTTGCAGGGAAGATGGGGTACAAGACATACAGATAGGAAAGAGAATAACACAGAATGCTCACTTGTGTAATACTAACCTTAAGTGCAAAAGAATTAGATTAAATAAGTTGAATGGACTAGGGAGTTTTCTTTAGTAAATGTTACAAGCAGCAAACATTTGAGTGCAAAGATTACCAGAGTTATGAGGAAGGGTATTGTGGAAAAGGTGGAATTTGAAAAGGACACGGGAAAAATAACAGAGATGTTGTGGGTATTGTGTGCTTAAAATTGCAGTGGTAGAGTGCGGTCTTTAAGTGGCTAGCCTTGAGGACTACATGGTTTTCTGATTTCGTTGAGTTCTGTTTGATTTGATTCCAGGTGAAATGTTATTTATCTCCAACATCTACCAAGGATTACTTAACAGCAGGGACTTGACATACTGATGTGTTACAGTATTGGTGTCACCAATTATTTTTACTAAAGATTTAAAGTCATACTGATTTAGTTCTCTAAATTCAAGTGTATTTGGGGTTATGTATCTAATAATATCACTTGCATTTAATACGCTTTATTTGGTGAAGGGGAAAGAGTAGACTAAGATGTCTCAACAGTGGCACTGTTGATGTTTTGGACTGGATAATTCATTCTGGTGTGGGGCTGTCCTATGTATAGTAAGATGTTTAGCAGCATCTTTGGCCTCTATCCATTAGATGCCAGTGGCACCCCTCCCCCGCCCCCTCTCCATTCCCTATCCCCAAGACTTGACTATCATAATGTCTCCAGACATTGTCAAATACCTACATTGTAGTTATTTTGCCCCCCAGTTGAGAACCACTGAGGTAGACTTCTGCTTGCGTATACAACCCACAGCCCACTATGTACTCCTTCCCCCTACCCTGCCACCACAGGAGTGTGCCTCTTTGTGGGAATGTCATCCTTTACAAGAAGCAGCACAGTTAAGACCCTCTGGAAGACTAGAGTATGTTCAGACCCTAATCCAGGCCAAGTTATCTGTTTACTGAATTGTCTAAACTCTTCGCTTTGGCAGGCTGCCTGCCTTTTGATCATATTGGTAACCAGTTCTTTCAGCAGAAGGTAAAGAAAAGAGAAAATAAATAAATATTTTGGCTTCTTTGTAACCATCTTTGTGTCCCTCCTATGTATTAGATATACATGGTGTACTGAATATAACTATGGTAGAAGCCCAAAACTTTTGACTCCATTCATCCATCCATTCATTCCTCATTCAGTTAGTATTTGTCAAAGGTCTACCATGTTCCAGACACTATTCTAGTGCTGGTTTTACAGTATTAAATCAGTCTGGCAAACTCCTTTATTTTCAAAGCGCTTATATTCTAGGAGAGACAGACCATATTCGTGTGTGTGTGCGTGTGTGTGTAAACAAATCAATAATGCAATTTCAGGGCACTTGAGTGGCTCAGTCGGTTAAGAGTCTGCCTTCTGTTCAGGTCATGATCCCAGGGTCCTGGGGTAGAGTCCCACATCAGGCTTCTTGTGCAGCGAGGAGCCTGCTTCTCCCTCTGCCTGTCGCTCTCCCTGCTCTGCTTTCTCGCTCTCTCTTTCTGACAAATAAATAAATAAAATCTTTAAAAAAAATGCGATTTCAGGTAGTGATTACTAGGAATAAAATAAAGATAAAAGGACAGAGTGACTCAAAATGCGGGGCTGCCGTTTTGGATGAGGTGGTCAGAAAACAGCTGTGGGGAGGTATAATTGAGAAAAGACATGAATGCTAAGAAGGAAAGACTGAAAGACCTAGGATGGGGGCACCTGGCTGGTTCAGTCAGTAGAGCATGGGACTGTTGATCTTGGGGTTGTAAGTTCAAGCCCCATGTTGGGTGTAGAGATTACTTATTAAAATCTTTAAATATGAATGAATGAATGAACTGGGGAAGAATTTTCTATAAAAGCACTATAGGAAAGAATGTTCTGAAATAGAATATTTTATGGCAGATGGAATAGCAAATGTGAAGATCTTGAGATGGCTGAAGGCATATAACATTGTAGTGACATAAAGATGGTGAGTGCAAAGGGCGGAGTGAATTTAGTTCTCCTGCAAACTTTTAAGTAGCCCTTGCTGTGAGCTAGACAATGCCTGGGGAGTTAGGGATAAAAGAAGCAGAAGGCATGATTCCTGCAAGTTGCTTAGTCTAGTGAGAAAAAGAAAGGTAAATGAGTAGATGATTCTGATACAGTAAGATAGATGTTACAGTAATGGTACATAGGGAGTCTTGTAGGAGCATGGATGGGGGCAACTAACCCAAACTGGGGGAATCAAGTATGTATTGAACAGTATTTAGACACTGTGCCTGGGGTTCATAGATTTTCTCATTTAGTACTTAGAGCAACTCTGTGAGGTAGGTAGTCTTTCGATCTGTCTCTACAGATGAGAAGACAGAGGTTCAGAGAGGTAGGTAACTTATCTGGGTTACTACCTGGCATAGGTAGGATTTGAACTCTGGGCTCTTAACCATCACAGTACCTGACTCTCTAGACCGATTAGATCCCTCTTATGTATGTTGTCATAGCACTCTATACTTTTCCTTCATCATTTAACAGAATTTGTAATTATGGATTTGTATGAGGGATTGTCTCGCCTCTGCAAAACTGTAACCTGTCTTTCTCAGTTTATAGTCTTGCGTACCTAGCACAGTACCTGCACCCAAGTGATCAGTAAATATTTTGAATAAATAAGTCTATTGTTTACTCAAATATGCTTACTAGCCAAGAATCACAAAGAAACCTTAACTTTTCCATTAAATGTATTATTCATTTATTGGGATCCTTTTGTGGTCCTTTGGGGTATCTCTATAATAATATTTATCATACTTCAAAGTTGCTAAGAATTGCTTGGTAGAAAGGTTGCTTTGATTAAAGAATAACAGACTACATCTTTAGAATTTCTGCTTTGAATCTTTGACCTCTTAACTTTTAAATTGCATTCTAAACTAGATACCTTTGGGAAAACACACTTAAATATGCAACTTGTATTTTCTTTTATCCACCTCTTTGTTACATTCAGTACTAATACTTATTTTTTTGTATTGACACTAAAATAGTTAAAAGTAAGAAGCATAAAAGTAAAGCAGTTAAAAATAAGGAGTATGAAAGTAGTAAAGACACTAAGGCAACCATATACTAGACAGTTGGCCCCTGGGTAATAGAGGATGCTTCCTTGCTTGTTACAAGAAAGCATAAAAACTCAATAGTTTATGGTTTATCTATTATATGAACTATCAATTTTTTATTCTGGGCACGATTTGCCTGCATCCTAGTCAAACGTTTTTTATTGTATGTCTCTGAGTACTTATTTCTTTTCAGACAAAATGACTGATATTTAACACTGCCGTAAATCATCAAAATGTTTGACCTTCTGCTCAAGGGAAAAAGTATTATAGTAAAATAGTCTCTGATGGCCAAATTGCAATGATCAAATGTAAGAATTTTTTAAAATTCTGACTTTTATTATCTTTGCTTATAGCTTTTTACCTGCACCTACTCAGCTATCTCAGGACCAGCTTGAGGCTGAAGAAAAGGCAAGATCCCAGAGATCACGACAGACCTCACTGGTCTCCTCCCGAAGAGAACCTCCCCCATATGGGTACCGGAAAGGCTGGATACCTCGGTTATTAGAGGTAAGTAATTGTGCTAACCCTTGTAAAATAAATTTAAACCCTAGAACCTCTGCACATGAATACCAATATGCTAGAAATCCTGGTTGTGTGTTCATAAGACGTGTACTCCCCTTAGGGCACTGATCTTTTTCTTCTGTCTTATTATCGCTGCTTTGTGATCACAAGAGAATTATATCTGCTTATATCTCTTCTTATGTCCAACCATTAAACATGTACAAAAGAAACTAACATACCCTCTGTAAATCAGCAATTATTGCATATGGAAAATAATGGGAAAGTAAGAGGAGAAAATGAAAGAATAAGTTCATGTTCGGGTGCCTTTCCCTCCCTTCTCCCTGAACGCACGCAATGCCACATAACCCTGCAGAGACAGCCTTCCTCCAGGGAAAACACCAGCAGTATTTCTTTTTCTGATTTCCTTCCCGTTAAGTATAGTGGCAAGAGCACTGGCAAGTAGTTTAAAAGAATAAATAAAAATAAGTGTTTTTGCATCATACCTGTGCTTCTTACTGTTTGTGTGACCCTGGGCAGATCCTGACCTCCCTTCATCTGTGTTCTTGTCTTCAATTTGAGAATGTTTATATAGGTCTAATATACAGATTAGGTAAATTTTTTAGAAGGTTTAAGAGAATTTGATGGTAGAATTGGAGGCAGTGAGGGAGAAAGAAGAAATCTGGAATGATTTTTTATATCTTTAGCTTGTTCCCAAAAAACAAACATCTTTGGCAGTACCTGTCCTCCTAGTTACTCTGTATCCTGTACTGCAGTTCAATACATATTCCTTTCCCTAATTCCAGGGAAGATTTCCCATGCTTGACCATCTTTTTCATCTAGGGAGAAAAGCAAATATTTGAGACTTAACTATTTTGCTTCCCCGAGACCACTTCCTCTTTGATCAAGCCTTTTTCTTCTCCATTTCTCAATATTCCTTCTGACTCCTGCAAATTTCCTTCCTCCACTTCCCAAGGAATGTCCCTGCCCTACTAAAATTCTCTGTTCTTATACCATTCATTTTTGTACCCAGGTATTTTCATTTTATCACTTTGTTACATTTTGTTCTTTTATGGTTGTGATTTTTACCTTACAAATGTGAAGGGCTCATGCCCTTACCTTTTTTTATATGCCTCCAAGTGGTGATCCTAGTGAACTAAGTATTCATTGGACTGAAATTTGTTGCTTTGCACCCAACAAGTTGCCATCTGTATTCTCAGTCTCTCCCATGTTTAGGATTCCCCCTACCTACCAGAACACTCTATAGAGCCTAGAAGACAAACTCCCAACTAGATCATATCTTCTAAAAAATTTCCTTGTTTTTTTTTCTCAGCTCTCCTCTAGACCTTATTAATTCTAATGTGTGAAGGCCAGTCTTACTATGGGATTGTTGTTGTTGCTTTTGTTTTCACTGATAGTGTAATTTGTGCAAAATAGAAGATTATCAAGGAGGCTATAATGCCCTCTTATCTGGGGCAGAAAGGTAGTGATTGGCATTATCTAAGAGAAGGGTAGTATGTCTCTTTGGAGGGATGCTAGATATTCTTTGTTTGCCTCTCAATAGATTATAAGGCAGGGGATGGCAGGCATCATTTTACATACAACAGAAATCTCATCCACATTTCCATTTCAGCATTATGACATTCAGGGACTATTAACTTCTTAAAATCTTACTTGACTAAAGGTTTCATATATCCTGGTAGAACAGAACAGTTTATTTGAAAATCAAACCAAAATGGCCAGCTAATCTGGAAATACTCTGAATGCTTTTGTAGGGGAGTGAACGTTCTATGCAGAAAGCATTTTGTTCTAGTTTTCAGAGTAAAAGCTATGATTTTCTGGTAAGCTTAATGACCGCATAATGCCACATCCACAGTTCTGAAGTGCTTATTATATTTCAAGAGCCCCAGCAAATCTGAGCATGTGTCAGATTGATGGCCTGGGTACAGGTAGCATCTTTCTCGGGAATGCTTTAACAATTTTCTACCTAATTTATAAGAAAATGTCTCCCTTAGCTTTATTGTTTGTTTTTAAAAAGGTCAAAATTTTTCTTCAGCAAGTAAGCATATTATACCTAGGAAATCACATGTCCAAGATCTAATGGAATATTTCTTGAAGGAGGAGGTCTTATAAAAGTTGTTATTTTCAGGGCACCTGGGTGGTCAGTCAGTTAAGCTTCTGCTTTCAGCTCAGTCATGATCCCAGGGTCCTGGGATGGAGCCCCACATTAGGCTCCTTGCTCAGCGGGGAGCCTACTTCTCCCTCTCCCTCTGACTGCCACTCCCCCGCTTGGGGAGTCTCTCTCTGTCAAATAAATAAATAAAACCTTAAAAAAGAAGTTGTTGTTTCATAAAGTTTTTCCATCAAACCTCCTCTAAATGATTGATTTTAATATTTTTTCCTATCTTGTATGTAAGTGATGAATCACTGAATTCTACTCCTGAAACTAATATTGCACTGTATGTTAACGAGCTAGAATTTAAATAAAAATTTTAAAAAATATTTTTTTCCTATCATTTTTTGGTAGTACTGACTTGCCCTTTTTTGAGCTAAAAGAAGGGAATTTTAGTTCAGTAGAAAATACAAAGTTTTTTGGAGTCAGAAGATCTGAGTTCAAATCCTGCATGTGCTAGCTATGACATCTTGGGAAAATCCCTTAACTTGGGCGCCTGGATGGCTCAGTCGTTAAGCGTCTGCCTTCAGTTCAGGTCATGATCCCAGGGTCCTGGGATCGAGTTCCACATCGGGCTCCCTGCTCAGCGGGGAGCCTGCTTTTCTCTCCCTCTCCCATTCCCGCTGCTTGTGTTCCCTCTCTAGCTGTCTGTCTCTGTCAAATAAATAAATAAAATCTTAAAAAAAAAAAAAATCACTTAACTTTTCTAAACTTGAATTTTTTCCATATGAAAATATGAGATGTTGAAGAAATACAAGAATTAAATGAGTGTGGATTATATTTTGTACATTATAATAAGGTCCTAAGCAAATATTACTAAATTTAACAAAATTATTTAAAAATTATATTTAATATTCCTTTGTGTATTTGATGAGCTACCTTTTTTTTGTAATACTAAACTTCATCAACAGGCTTTACTTAGCTTGTTCTACTTTAGAAGTCATAGTTCTCTCTTCTAAATAATTGTATACAGTCACCATTAGAAAAATGGTGAACTCATTTCTTGAGCCTTCGTAGTCTGTTTATTTGCTTCTTGTGGAACATGAATAAATACGTTATGAAAGTCTGGTTCCAAGAAAAAATTCTTTACATTTCTGCACTATTATAGCTTGAATGGTTACTCACTAAGAAAATTATATATGCTAAAACTAAAAGTCTTTTCCTTGTCCTAAACACTGTCCTTAATTTCTTAATATATATAAACATATAAAAATCTAGATTTGTTGCCATGGTTTAGAAGCCCTTTCATGATCTGGTGTTTGTCTACCCATGCAAGCTTATCACCTGTGTGTCTGCTCCTCTGTCCTCAGCAGGCTCCAGCCCCACATCGGGGCCTGTTTTCCACTTGTTTCCTAGAACATTCCAAGTTCATTCTTGCAGCAGGGCCTTCACACTATTTGCTCTGCCTAGAAAATGCTTCCCTCACATCTTCCTATGCCTGATTTCTCATTATTCAGGCTTTTAGCTCATGTTACTTCTTCACAAAGGCCGTCCCTGCCCTATTGAAAGTAGCCTCTGTTTGCAGTCCCATTATATTTTCAAGGCATTTATCACAAGCCAAAGATTAGGCTTTTTATATCTGTGCCCACTAGGATGTACACTGTACAAGATCAGGGACCTCTGTTTTCTTTATTGCTATATCTCTAGCATCTAGTATAACAACATCTGATAATTGTTGAATGAATGAATCTTGAATCTGAAATTACAATTAAATATTCTTATTTTTCTTTTTAATACATAGGATTTTGGAGATGGAGGTGCTTTTCCAGAGATCCATGTGGCCCAGTATCCACTTGATATGGGGCGAAAGAAAAAAATGTCAAATGCACTGGCCATTCAGGTGGATGCTGAAGGAAAAATTAAATATGATGCAATTGCTCGGCAAGGACAGTCAAAAGACAAGGTAATCCTCTCAATGATAAATATCTTTTGAAGAGGTTTTTTTGTTTGTTTGTTTTTGTTTTTTATTGTGTGTAAATGGTACATATCTGGCCATTTAGTTTTATTAAAAGTAGCGATGAGGGGCACCTGGGTGGCTTAGTCGGTTAAGCCTCCAACTCTTGATTTCGGCTCAGGTCATGATCTCAGGGATCTGGGATCAAGCCCCGTTTTGGACTCCACGCTCAGTGGGGAGTCTGCTTGAGGATGCTCTCTCTCTCTCTCCCTCTGCCCCTCCCCTTGCTCGTGAGCTCTCGCGCTCTCTCAGAATTAAAAAAAAAAGTAGCAATGAAATATACTTAGGCTAACTGAAGATAGGACTTCATAACAATATGAACAATATATTATGATTTCATAGTAGTAATGACTTTTTCCTTTGAAGTCTCCCAAATTGATGAAAACTTATATATACTTGGGGTTTTCATCTATTTGTTTAACATTTTAAAAACAATTTGAAATTGTTAAGTTCTAATTATTTTAAGCTCTTTTATAGTACTAACAGTTTTTTTTTTTTAAGATTTTTTATTTATGTACTTGACAGAGACACAGCGAGAGAGGGAACACAAACAAGGGGAGTGTGAGAGGGAGAAGCAGGCTTCCTGAGGAGCAGGGAGCCCGATGAAGGGCTCGATCCCAGGACCCTGGGATCATGACCTGAGCTAAAGGCAGACGCTTAACAACTGAGCCACCCAGGCGCCCCATAGTACTAACAGTTTTTAAATGCTAGAAAATTGTTCAAAATCTACAATTCTAGCACCCCACACAAAAAAAAATTAGATTTTTTTTTGTATAGTCTTCTGATTCTTTCTCATGAACTTACAAAGTACTTACATAGATATTTAATTACTTTAACAGTTCATTTGAATTACACAAACTTTCTTCTCCCTTAAGTATAAGACTGGCACTTGCTATCCAGATTTATGATGGCCCTGCTTACAAAGTAATCCAAAGACCAAAAATAAAATTTACTTAAAATAATCTCATCACAGAGCAGCTATACTCAGAGCCAGGGAACTGTTTTTAAGAAGACCTAGTTTTTTCCCTTGTAAATAAGTGCTCCACATAAAGGTAAAGATATCTTTAGAATTGAAGATGTTGGGAAAAATACTTGAGAACCTTCAGTACCTGTCCTTTGTCTCGCTGTCCTGGAAACATTTTCATTTTACCCTCTAAAATAGCACCAATGACAACCCATCCTCTGCTCCTGCATCAAGGTCCCGGAGTTCTTAGGGAAAACAGTTACACTGTCATGCAAATCTGTGTCTTGGGTTTCAACTGGGCTCCTTTGGTGTTCCTCCAACCTCTAACTCCTCCTCCTCTCCATCTCCTCTCAGCTTAACAGGTGACTAGGTGACATCTGTTTGCATATAAAGACTAGTGGAAGAAAACTGTCTGCTTTCTTTATCCTATGTGGCTTTCTGTCTTGACCTTTCCTTTTGTCTCTATAAGAAAGCTCTTGTATCTAAACCTAATCTTGCCAGATGTGCTGTAGTGTATCCTGGATCTCATTTCTTACCCTCTCCTTTACAGCCTCACTTTTTCTTTATTCTTCTTGTTAACCATGACTTTCACCTCCCCTCCTTTACTGGCTCCTTCCTGTGAGCTTTTAAATATGCTTGCTTTTCTCATCTCATCTTTTGTAAGAAAATTCTCCCCTGACTATCCTCAGGACTCTCTAGCTACCACCAAATTTCCACCTAGTTTTCTTCACTTGCCTTCAAGATTTTTGCTTGTTATCTGTTCTCTCTACTTCTTCACTTTCTTTCATTCTTCATTTCACTGTAATAGAGCCTCACCTCAGCCAGTCTGCTGAGATAAACTCTGGCAAAAGTCTCTAGACTTTGTTTCTCACAACACCATCTCTTTGACTAATCTAATTTATTCCCTTGGCTAAAATTGCCACTTACTTTGGTGACCGTTGGATCTGTGTCTCCAGCCCAGTTTTCTCTCCTGGGCTCTAGGTCCTTCTATCTTAGTGTCTGCAAGGGCAAAGCTATTAGATTTTCCCAAAGCACTGCTCATCAAACCCAAACCTAAGTGGATAATATTCCACTTAATCTACCTTCTCTATTCTCTAACTCAGCGACTTGAGTGATAACTTCTGATTGACTATGCTTAAAGCCTGAGAGTTCTTTTTTCCCATTATTTTAATGATTTTTTTAAAAATACTCTAATAATAAGTTCTTACTATAGAAGATATCAACAGTACGTAAGTATGTATATACAGTTCTGCCTACTTCTCTCACTTCACTTCCTAGAGGTAGGTACTGTTAGTATAATGATATACATCCTTCCAGATCTTTTTTATGGATTTAGATATTGATGTATACATATTCCCACTTTATATACAAACACACAAATATCTTTTTTTACATGAATGAGATTTTAATATTCATAACTTTCATAGACTTGCTTTTTTTACTTAATGTTTTGAAGATTTTTATTAGTATATATAGGTCTGCTTTATTTTTTTTTTTTTAAGATTTATTTATTTTAGGGAGAGAGTATGTGCACGGGGAGGGGGAGGGGCAGAGGGAGAGAGAGAATCTCAAGCACACTCTGCACTTAGCATGGAGCCCAACACGGGGCTCAATCTCATGACCCTGAGATCATGACCTGAGCCAAAACCAAGAGTCAGAGGCTTAACCGACTGAGCCACCCAAGCGCCCTAGTCTGCTTTATCTTTAAAAGATCTATATATAATTCCATAGTGTGCTTAGGCCTGAATTTTTATTTTTAAGCATTGGTTGTTTCTTAAAAAAAAAAAAGCATTGGTGGTTTCTAATTTTTTACTTTTCAGGCAGTACTGTATTCAAGATCCATGTACAAATACCTTTTTACACATGAATATTTGTGTAAAATAAATCCTTAGTGGACTTACTGGGTCAAAGGATATTCAGATGTCAGATGTGACACATAAAGCTATGTGTTCTCTAAAAAGACTTTGCTGAACACTCATTCCATTCCTTTGTGTTTCCCTTAGGCCCTCCATCTGTTTAGTCACCATGATTTATCTTCTTAACACTTCTCAAGTATATGCCCTTCTCTGCTACTTAATTCAGGCCCTTATCATTTCTTGCTTTATTTACCACAGCAGAGTCTGAACCCATCTCCTTGGCATTTGTTTTGCCTGCCTAGAAAAACAGATTCATCCTTGTTTATTTGTTTAGCTTTCTCTCTCTCTCTCCACACACACACACAGACACACACACACACACAAGTGTGCATGCTTAAAATCTTTCCATGGCCTTTAAGGTAACCAGCCAAGCTCTTTATGGCACACTTGACCCCTTCCTTACCTTTCTAGCCTAGCCTCAACTCTGATGACCACAATGCTGAAGTCCAAAAGTAAAAAGTCCAGTTTTAGCCATTCTGTTTATTTTCAGTACAAAATAATCACCATTGTGCGTGGTTGTTAAAGAAGAAAAAACTTTCATGGCGCCCAGCTGGCTCAGTCGATGGAACATACACAACTGTTGATCTTGGGGTTGTGAGTTCGAGCCCCTACACTGGGTGTAGAGAGACTTAAACATTTTTTTAAATCTTTTAAAAAAAGAAGAAAAAGCTTTCAGGCATTTTCTGTAAAGATCTGCTGTGAGGAACTACTGGCAGCTTCCCTAATACGGCACGTTCTGTCTTACCATGGGAACTTCCTGGGCATGCCCTCCTGTGCATGGGAAAGCCCTCCCCCTATTCTTCGACTCATTTCTGTTGCTTTCAAATCGCAGCTCGCTCTTCACTGTTTCAGGGTACTCCTCCTAAGCTTCTTTGGCTAAATGTGGTTTCCTTTCTTCCTCCTCCCTATGTTTATCATAGCAGTCATCACCTTTTGCTGTACTTAACCTTTCACCACTATCTATATCATTTGACTGTAAGCTCTATGAGGACAGAGATTATATCTTTAGGATTCCTCTTTGGCACCTAACTTAGTGCTTGAGATTTTGGTACACAGACATTCATCAGTTATTATTGGAGAAGCGATAGCAGTTTTCATTGAATAACAGAAAACCACTTCTGAGCCAGTAGGGAAGCATAGTTGATCCCTGCAAAAGGAAAAATAGGTCCCTATACAGCAGGACATATACTGTAAATGTCCCCTGTGCCGTGGAGGCCTTCACTGGGCTTTAACTGCCTTTCTTTTGATACAGCTCTTCTTCTTTGGAATAATCACTATTCTTTATTGGTATGTACTGCCTCTCCTCTCATTGGTTAGGAAAAAGCAAAACTTTAGGACAGTTGTTTGGTATTGGCAGGTTGATAATTTTGAATGACATACCGTTTTAGCCCATTTTGCATTAAATTTCAAGATTGGAAACCACAAATTTTCTCTGATGCCCAGAGCATGTCTGAAAGTTTTTTTCATTCTCTAACATGTTGGTAATTATTTTGTTTTGAAAGTACAGTAGAAATGTTAGAACTGTTTATTTTTAGATTTCCGTATTCTGGCCGAAAAGATCTTTAAAGTAATATTCCTTTGTACACTGAAAGCTTTACATGTTTGTCTATAATGCAGCCACTACAGTTGAATCCAAAACTAGTAGTTTATAGAGGTACCACTCAGAGGTTCAACCCTGATTCTAACCCTAATCCTAATGGGGGAAGCTATGCATGTGTAGGGATAGGACGTATATAGGAAATCTCTGTACCTTACTCTTAATTTTGCTGTGAACCTAAAACTGCTCTAAAAATATAAAGTCTTTAAACACACACCCACACACAATGAAGATTTTTTAACAGAATGAGCAGGGCACTGAATGAATTGAGAAGAAAGATAGTGAATAGAGTGGCTACTTGGACTGTTCTAACATTGTTCCTGGTGGATGTATTTCCTTGCTGGACTTTATGCCCTGGAATATACATTTGAGCTTCTTACACAAATTTAATAAATAAGTATTTTAATTTTTTAAAAAGTGGATGGGTTAATGCATGAAGTTTTTGAATGCATTTAATAATTCAACATTAACTGAGTACATGTTGGCAAATGCATGTTGGAGGAGGGGACACTTCTTGATTGTTTGGGACTGTCTTGAACAGTGTATAATGTTTAGCATGACTGCCACTACCTATTAAATGCCTGTAGTGCCTTGGAGGAGGCAGCAATGCCCTGTTATAAAACCACTGATTTTCCTGTTTTAGAAGTAGGGATTGGCTACTAAATGTGGCTTTAAAATGGGGCTTTAAAAATTTATTATCATTCAGGAGGCTGATATTCAGGTCTTTGGCAGAGGGATCTGGTTTTCTTCAGAAACCTGAGAGTTCTCACTGAAATATTAATAGTGAAAGGTCAAGAATGGTAAATGCTAGCCATGGGTATAAGAGATTAAGAAAAAAGGCAAGATTGCAAGGGATAATATTCTAGGACAAGTCTAAGGCCATAGATCTCTCTACATGTAAAATAAATACTGTATACACAAGACTTATAGTAATACAAAATTGGTAGGGAAAAACATTTCTTGAATTAAATTTTGATGGAACTAAATCCTTTTTTCCCCCCAATTGTGACTTGAGTGATAAATCTTGAAATAAAAAGCCTTGATGTTTACATTTTTCCTTCTGAAATAGTTCTATGGGAAATGTTACATACATGATAAAGAATGCCTTCAGCCCCTTCCTCCCCCCCAAAAAATAACTCCCAGCAGCTTTAAACTGACCCCAAGATAAATTGTATTTTGCCTTGTTCATATGATTTCACAAACAAGCTAAATCTAAAGATGGTGTTTCCTTTTTACCCCCCAAATTGGTGAATATGTTGACACACATTTATCCTGTCAGGTCAGTCCAGTCCTTTGCCAGTTTTCAGTAATAAAAATAAAGTTTCACAGATGAGTTATTGCTTTGTATCGTTCACACAGCTCATTTGTGCTCCTCATACCTTCTAGAGTATATTGTATTTTTTCAGATAACCCTCCCTAGCCCCTTTGGCTCCTGGGATATACTGAGTTTCTTCAGCACATTTGGTCTCAAGCAATAAAAATTTGGGGTTTTATGGTTAATTACCATGGAGGAATCTTGCTCTTCAGACGTCCTTCACTCAGCTTTGTGAGATGCTGGAATCTTATTGATGTTCACTTAAAGGGTTATTAACTTTGGAATACCCAAATAAGAAGCAGCAAATGGCTCTTGCATGCTAAATTAGTATTGAGACTTTATGTCGAGCATATATGACTACCAGGGAGCCATTTACTTAGAATCCCTTCCTGTAATGATTGCTGTGTAAAAGTAATTAACTCTTCATAGTCTAGATATTATTTTCTAGAGTATTGTTATGTAATTTTAAACTCATGTGGTACAGATTTTTCAATCTTGAAAAGAAATAAGGCTTTTGAGGTCAGTTACTAGCTGTGTGATCTTAATGTACTGAGCCTCACTCTTGTCCCCAGAGTTGAGTTTTAGGTCCCTTCCAAATGGACACTGAGAGGATGGTGACCCTAGCAGCTCACATATCAGTGGTCATGTTTTGTGGTAAACTGTCTGCACTTTCTTTCCTGATCCTTTGTCTCATTCCTGAGAAAAACAAGCTAGAGATTTCTCTGTAGCCATGAGATATTTTTTTCTGGGAAATCCACAGATTATAGAGAACCTTCTGTAGGGCCTACAATATCATCACCTTTAGCATAGAATTGAGCATCTCTAAAATTCATATATTCATTCATTTGTACAGAAAATATTGACTTGAATGCCTCCTGTGGACCAGGCATTGTTACAGGCCCTGGAGATAACTTTAATGAATAAGAGATTCCTCATCAGTAACATAGGTATAATTATTGTACATACCTCAGGGTTGATAGAAAAGTTCAGGTAGTTAATATATATAAAGCAAAAGAATAGTGGCACAGAATAAGTGCTTAATAAATTTTAGCTATTATTATTACTTTAATAGAGATACAGATAAACAAGTAAAATGGGAAATAATTTCATACTGTGAGCAATGCTTTGAAGACAGTACTCAAAGAGTGCTGTGACACAGTGATTGGGTGGGCAAGGGTTGCTTTAGCATGGTAGTCAAGACAGGCCTCATCAATGCATTCATGACCTTTGAACTGAGACTCAGAGCTTGAGAATTCACATGAAGAACTAGGAACAACACTTTTAACTTTAAGGCCCAGAATTCCGGGGGGAAAGCATGTTGTGTTCAAAAAACAGGAAGAGCTAATGTGATTGAAGCATAATGAATGAGGAAGTGAGAGGTACAGGGGGAGATTAAAGCTGTAGGCAAAGCCAGGTCAGGTTGTATAGGCCAGGAAGTATTTTTTTTTAAGATTTCATTTTATTTATTTGAGTGAGAGAGGGAGCACAAGAGGGGGTAGGGTCAGAGGGAGAAGCAGACTCCCTGCTGAGCAGGGAGCCTGATGGGGGACTCAATCCCAGGACTCTGGGATCATGATCTGAGCCGAAGGCAGTTGCCACCCAGGCGCCCAGCCAGGAGTTATTTTTTGCTCTGTTGTTTGGAATAAGAAATTAAGAATAGCCTGCATTTCCTTTAAGCCATTTTTTGGTAAAGATTTTTTTTATTTAATTATTTATTTATTTACTTACTTACTTATTTATTTATGAGAGAAATTGAGAGTGGAAGCAGAGGGGGAGGCAAGCAGACTCCACACTGAGCATGGAGCCCCACGTGGGGATTGATCTCACCACTCTGAGATCATGAAATGAACCGAAATCAAGAGTCGGATGCTTGAGGTGCCTGGGTGGCTCAGTCGTTAATCGTCTGCCTTCAGCTCAGGTCATGATCCCAGAGTCCTGGGATCGAGCCCTGCATCAGGCTCCCTGCTCAGCTTGCTTCTCCCTCTCCCACTCCCCCTGCTTGTGTTCCCTCTCTCGATATATATCTCTCTGTCAAATAAATAAATAAAATATTTTTTTAAAAAAGTCAGATGCTTAATTGTCTGAGCCACCCAGGCACCCCTCCTTTAAGCTATTTTTAAGGAATGTCATGGTAGAATGCAATTATTGATATAAGACTTTGGTTTATAGTAGTAATTCTTAAAGGTCTTAAGTACCTGGGAATTTGGTTTTCTTTCATATTCACTAGTTGTTCTTTATATGTGTATCAAAAATTCCTGACTCAAGCAGCAAAATCTAGAATGCTGTTTATTTGTTAAATTTCCAGTACCTCTGGGACACCTGGGTGGCTCAGTCAGTTAAGTGGCTGCCTTCGGCCCGGGTTATGATCCCAGGGTCCTGGGATCAAGTCCCACATCGGGCTCCTTGCTCAGCAGGGAGCCTGCTTCTCCCTCTCTCTCCTTCTGCTTGTGCTCTCTCTGTCAAATAGATAAAATCTTTAAAAAAAAAAAAAATTTCCAGTACCTCTTTTTTTTCTGTAAAGTATGCCATGTAAGTTTTTATGAAAGTATTCAAAAAGTATAGATGGACACAAAAGTAAGTAATACTCTATCTGTTGGGGGCCTACCACATCAGTGTCAGCTTCATAGAAACATGGTGAGCCCAGTAGAAATTATAGCCGTCCTAAATTTGGATAATGAGTATAAAATAAGTTGTGTATATAGAATATGTTTTGGTTTTCCTTTTTTTTCTTTTTCCCCACAGAAGAAAGTGTTCTCAGTTTTTTGACCATGGCACGTGTTCATTTTCTTAGTCTGTGAATAGAGTTGATGCCAGAAAAGACAAACATTATAAGTAGAGTGAGGTCAATGAAATTTTCCAGGCCCAGTGAATTTGAAAATTATTTGGTAACCTGACTTAAATTCTGATGAGCTTGTAATCCAAGATAATGGTGCTATAGACAATTTATATCATCATTAATTTCAAGTCTTAGCCTCAAAAATACGGATCACTGATGCATAAGATTTTGTTGGCGCAATTTATTTGGATACTGACTTGATTAGAAGATCTCAAATAATTTAAATGCACGAGGTCAAAGGAAAATTATTAACTTATATAGCCAGGGCAGTAATTTGTGTATATATTTTAAGCTTCCTTGGTTTTAAAATCTAAAAGACAAAATCTGTGTCCTAAATTTATAAGTGTGCTGACTTCTGAAATTATTTAATGAGGTTGCTTCTTTTCATTCTCTGCTTTTCTTGAGCCTGCTTGTGTTTGAACATTTTAGGTCATTTATAGCAAGTATACTGACCTGGTTCCCAAGGAAGTCATGAATGCAGATGACCCAGACCTGCAAAGACCTGATGAAGAAGCCATTAAAGAGGTAATAGGATATTGAGAGAGATATATATATAAGTATTTTAGATGACTTTCTACATCATTTATTAACTTTCAAACCACTCAATATGGTATTTCTTATTTCAGATAACAGAAAAGACAAGAGTAGCCTTAGAAAAATCTGTATCACAGAAGGTTGCTGCAGCCATGCCAGTTCGAGCTGCTGATAAACTGGCTCCTGCTCAATATATTCGGTATGATCTTGCCTGAAAGTCTTGGTTTCACGTCGGACTTGATTGGGATTGGGGGTCCTGGTATTCTTTCACTATCCTACTTAGTCACAGTTGAAAATGTAATTTTTTGAATAGTGACCTGAAGCCTGTTGACTCTGTGCAGACTATTGAAAGCAGAATTTTTTAAAGATATCTACTTAGAAGATATTTAGCTATTAGGCTATTTTCAAAATATATTTTTTGTTTTTAGAAATTAATAATTACAGCATATGATCCAAACTGCAAATATTACTTAGTTTCCCATTTGTATATAATAGGCTTTATATAACATATATTTATATAATATTATGTCATAATTACTATATAATAGTAGTTATATAACATGTAATAATAGTATAATAACAGAATATTAGTAGTTTACTAATACCATTTATATAATAATAGGCATCTTTATAATACTTATACATTTTGAAGGATTTCATTCAACTAAATCCTTATGTAGAGAGATGATTCACATGTAGGTATTATAGGAAAAATCAGCTTATAGAGCTGCTACTATTATTTTTTCTCTGTTTTACAACCTATGATTAGTCAAGAACTACTAATTCTAAGCTGCCTCCTGAGAATATTATGGGGCGTTTCTTCTGCAAATGCAAACTTACAAAATAGGTACCATTTTCTAGACCTCTTATCTGTGAAATTGAACACCGTGCCTTCCATGGTGGAAAATGGCCAGGGATGGATTATTTGCAAACTGATATGACTCTAGTTTACATTTTGCTTACAACTCATTATTACTCTTAGTTCTCTTATTTCCATTGCTATCTGCTCTGCCTAAATATTTTTGCTACTTTCTATTAATACTTTATGAAAGGAATTGACAGTATAGTCTAGCTTAGAATTATAACAGAAGACAAATACCTATTGAGTTTGAACTAGTTATACCTTTAGTTTCATCTGCATTCTTCAGATACACACCATCTCAACAAGGAGTGGCTTTCAACTCTGGAGCTAAACAGAGAGTTATTCGGATGGTGGAAATGCAGAAAGATCCAATGGAGCCTCCAAGGTTCAAGTAAGTAGGTAGCCTCATGAGAATAAAACACCGTTTTGTTTTGTGTTTTTTGTTTTTTTAAGATTTTATTTATTCATTTGAGAGAGAGAGACAGAGCACAAGCAGGGGGAGAGGCAGAGGGAGAGGGAGAAGCAGACTCCATGCTGAGCTGGGAGCCTGTCATGGGGTTCGATCCCAGGACCTAGAGATCATTACCTGAGCTAAAGGCAGAGGCTCAACCATCTGAGCCACCCAGGTGCCCCAATAAAACACTGTTCTTAAAAAAGATATGAGAGGAGCAAAATATCCCAAATGTCCATTAGTAAGTGATAGGATAAATTGTGGGACATTTATACATGGAATACTATTGATATTAAAAATAATTGTTTTAATTAATTTAATAAAAAAGAGTAAACTTTTAATACATGAAATAACATGGATGAATCTCAAAATTATTATGTTGAGTGAAAGAAACCAGACAAAAACAAGTACATTCTGTATTATTCCAATTATATAAAACTCTAGAAAATGAAAACTAATCTGTAGTTACAGTAGGTAGATCAATGCCTGTGGTGAAGGAGGGGAGGAGAGGGGATGAGAGGAACAAGAAGGATAGGCAAGGACGTGCAGAAATTGGAGGTGATGGATATGTTCACTATCTTGATTGTGATGATAGGTTTCACAGGTGTATACTTGTGTCAGACTTAAACAGTACACTTAAATATGTATAGTTAATTGCATGTCAGTTGTACCTCAATAAAGCTGTTTTTAAAAAAAATGGGGCACCTGAGTGGCTGAGTCCGTAAAGCATCGAACCCTTGATTTTGGCTTAGGTCATGATCTCAGGGTCCCGGGATTGAGCCCCATGTCAGGCTCCACACTGGGCATGGAGCCTGCATAAGATTCTCTCTCTCCCTCTGCCCCTCCCCCCACTCTAAAAAAATAAAAGTAGGGGCACCTGCGTACTCATTCGGTTAAGCATCTGACTTTTGATTTCAGCTTAGCTCATGATCTCAGGATTGTGAGATCAAGCCCCACGTCAGGCTTCACAGAGTGTGGAGCCTGCTTGAGGTTCTCTCTGTCCCTCTCCCACTCCCTCTCTTTAAAAATAAATAAATAAAGTAAAAGAAAAAAGTAGGGGTGCCTGGCTGGCTCAGTTGGTAGAGCATGTGAGTCTTGATCTTGGGGTCATGAGTTCAAGCCTGATGTTGGTTGTGGAGCCTACTTTAAAAAAAAAAGTATATTACCCTGTGAAATGATAATGATATTGTGGAGGTGAGGTGGGTAGTGATGATGACAAGGTTGGCTGTGATTTAACAGTTGTGGACGCTGAGTGACTGATACATGATAGATGAACATTCATTATAAACTCTATTTGTTTTTGTATATGTTTGAAGCTTTATAAATGGGAAGGGGAAACTTGAGACATATTAACCAAAATGGAAAAATGTCTAACACTCTCTGGTTGTGCTTTGATTTATCCTTCAGGATTAATAAGAAAATTCCCCGAGGACCACCTTCCCCTCCTGCACCTGTCATGCATTCTCCTAGCCGAAAGGTAATCTTTGCTGTAATCTAACATCTTTTTTTGTACTCATGATTATTAATTTTATAAGTAACCTCCCATAGAACAAAGTCTAGATGCCTATACAGGTACATTTTGCCATGCTTACTGTTTTTTTAATATGATTTTTAAGATCAAATAAGGACCCACTCAGGACTATAATGTGTAGTTCCAGAGTGCTTATGAGAATGTATGTAAAATGTTAGCTTTTAGTTTTCATGTTATTAGCCTGACCCCTGCTTTAAATGGAATGAACAGGGTCTGCTATTTGATAAGCAGGATATTATCATAGAGGAAGTGAGGGATTAATAGGCCTCTGATAATCTGAGTGGCATTTTTTAGGTATGATTTATTATCTAACTGAAAGAACAAATTTTCATCTTAAAGAAGTCTTGTCACTTTATTTTTTAATAGACCAATTCTTTATTTTTTTAAAGATTTATTTACTTATTTTAGAGAGTGAATGCATGAGTAGGACGAGGGGCAGAGGCAGAGAGAGAGGAAAAGAGAATCCCAAGCAGACCCTCCGCTGAGAGCAGAGCCCAATGCAGGGCTTGATCCTACGACCCTAAGATCATGACCTGAGCCAAAACCAAGAGTTATTAAACACTCAACTGACTAAGCCACCTAGGTGCCTCTCACATCACTTTAAATATGGAAAAATACTCACCAGCATTTATAATTGTCAAAAATAATTTGTAGAATATTTTCCATTTTTTATATTAAAGTTATTATTAGAATCCATGGTATGGGAACATAATATATAGTGCTACCAAACAAATGGAATTTTGACCTTTGACTAAATCTATTCACATGTCCGTGTTTATTGAACTGTCTTTGAAGAGAACATTGTACATAGGTTTTTAGCTGGACTACAAATTGGAAAATGTCTCTTCTTCCATTCTTTTGTCCACTCAGATGACCGTGAAGGAGCAACAAGAGTGGAAGATCCCTCCTTGTATTTCAAACTGGAAAAATGCAAAGGTAATTAAGTTTCATAAAATCAGTCTCCTACTATTAGAACCTACTGAGAAACAGGAAGGAGCTTTAGCCTCAGAAACTTTCATTAAATCCTCAGCATCTCACTTAGCTGAGTGTTTTCAAAAAGGAACACCCAACTTATGTGACTTTCTTTTCTTTAATGTAATAGAAACATAGTATTCCAGTCACATGAATACTGTGTAGATTCTTTTAGTGAATTGTAGTTATCAGAAGCATATAGAGAAAGGATAGGTAGAATAAAGTAACATATCCATGAATGATAGTATTCTTTAGAAAATTTAGAAATTGATAATCTAAAATCATTTCTTAAACCAGTTTAAATGATAATATGACAAAACAGAATAAATGTTTGTCTATATTCAGTGCTTTAATTTTTAACATTTTTTTCTGTTTATAACAATGTGTGCATAAGCTATTTAAATCCTTCATATCTCTAAGCACCAACACTTCCAGGAGTCATGAAATATCTGCAAAATAATGTGAAATATATTTTCCTTCCTTTTTCTTTTTCTTTTTCATTTTATTTATTTGAGAGAGAGAGAGCACACAAGCAGGGAAGGAACAGAGGGAAATGGACAGACTCTGCCCTGAGTGCAGAGCCCAACACAGGGCTCGATCCCAGGACCCTGAGATCATGACCTGAGCTGAAACCAAGAGTTGGACACTTAACCAACTGAGTCACCCAGTCACCCCTGAAATATATTTTCTAATCACTATTGCCCCATTTCCCCCAAGTTGTGTTTCATAATTCTATTTTTGATGAGTGAAGAAGGCCACTTTAATTTGTAGATTAAATATAAATTATTTCCTAAAGAAAGTTATGCACTCATCCTATAACAAAAAAATTATTGGGTAGTCCATTTTGGCTTGATTAACGTATATGTAACTATGTGGTATCTTGAGCTGATTCTGTAACACTTCCCTGTATTAGCAGTAAAGACTATAGACAAGAGGTCAACATTTGGGAATGTAGTCATAAATCTGAAAAAATATAGCTAAGCCTGAAATGGCCTGGATCTTCAAGCATATTCCTTGAGTTAGTGAAAATAGGGTGCAAAATTTCAGAACAGGAAGAATCTCAGTTGTCTATCAAATAACTTATCTTTTTTCCATTTACTAAAACTTACAGTATCCTAAGAATCTGACAAGTCATTAAAATAGTACCACACATTAAACTACCTATATATTCTCTGGTTTTAGTGATTTGTTCCACTTTTGTATGACTGTTCTATTACTTGAGGAACAACTGCTTAGCTATTTGATAGTGACTTCCTTTTATTATAACTCACAATTATTAACATGAGAATATTTGCTCAGAGCTTGGGCTCTGACATCACACTGCCCAAGTTTAAATTTTAGCTCATCCATTTATTAACTGTGTGCCCTTGGGGACATTCACCTAAGCTCCCTACCTCAGCAGCAGCATCTGTGAAATGGAAACACATTGTTTCCAGCCTTCCAGAGTTACTGTGAAGGTTAAATGGGACCGCAAATGGGAAGTGCTTTGAATTGGCCTCCACACGAAGTCGTCGGTGTTAGCTGCTGCTGTTGCATAATTGTGAAGAAAGATGTAAGAAGAAGAACTTCAGCTCAGTGGTGGTCAAAATGGACATATTTAAATCTAATTTTAAAGAATCTATTGCTGCTCTTTTATGACCGGTGTTTTCTGCCTGCTGTCACACAGGGGTATACAATTCCATTAGACAAACGTCTGGCTGCTGATGGAAGAGGCCTGCAGACAGTTCACATCAATGAGAACTTTGCCAAGCTGGCCGAAGCCCTCTATATTGCTGATCGGAAGGTTGGTCTCTTATAGTGAAAGGGTTTAATGCTTAATTTGTAATCCATTTTTGGTTACCTAAGATACTGTTTGTTCATTCCAGTTTAATTGACACATCACTGTAAATTTTAAGCCCTTCAGCCTGATGGTTTGATTTACAGAAGACACTGCTGTTTCAGCTACAGTACTGAGTACCCAGCGAGGCTCACATCTGTGGCACGTGTGCCAGAGACAGCATGTGCTGTTTGCAGCTCTGTACCTGATCTCAGCCTGTGTAGACTTGTGCACACACCCTACCACTGGCGATCCAGCTTCCTCATAACATTCCAGAACGATGGTTCACTAGGCTAATCTCATTGTTATTTTTTTTTTCCTTAAGATTTTATGTATTCATTTGACAGAGAGAGAGAGAGACGGGCAGAGGCAGAGGGAGAAGCAGACTCCCCGCTGAGCAGGGAGCCCTATGCAGGACTCGATCACAGGACCCTGGGATCATGACCTGAGCCAAAGGCAGATGCTTAACCAACTGAGCCACCCAGGCGCCCCAATCTCATTTTTAAAGAAATGATCGACTGCTGTTTTTAGATTTCATTTTTTTTTTTTCTGTTTTAAATACAGATGTCTCCCAAATGGTCGGTAGCATAGAAAGGCAAATAAACATTCTGATGAATGCTATAGGAAATGATAGTCATAGTATTGGTTGTCTATTAATATTATTAGTGTGTGTGACCTAGAAGTTCACATACATTATGGCATGCATTTAGAACATAGAAAAATGTATCTCCTGCATCAGAGCAAGCACCCTTATAAAAATCTCTTGCTAAAGGCTTTATCTTAAATAGATTTGCTTGATTTTGAACACATAACCAATTCCTGCTATGTTATTGATACTGAAAATTTCTTTATTAGAGTCTTGTTTAATTTTTCTTTTTTGGGTTGTTTCTGAGAAAGCATTAGTGAAACAGTGACTTGCAAGATTATAGGACTCATTATAATAAGTTTCAACCACTAAAACATTTTCCAGAGTGAAAAATCTAAGTTTGCAGTGTCTTCCAGGTGAGCTTTCTTTTAGTGGACAAGAATCTTTGTTTTAACCAGCAGTAACAAATCTGAATTCTTTATACCTGCTCTTTCAAGCCAAACTTCAGTCAGGATATTGGATGATAGCTGTAACTTTTCCCCCAACCATGTCTTATTTAACATTCAACTTTACTAACAGGCTCGTGAAGCTGTAGAAATGCGTGCTCAAGTAGAGAGAAAGATGGCTCAAAAAGAAAAGGAGAAACATGAAGAGAAACTTAGAGAAATGGCCCAGAAAGCCAGGGAGAGAAGAGCTGGGATCAAAACCCACGTGGAAAAAGGTATGACATTCTCTTTCCTCAGTTGAATTTACAATATGAACAATACATATCTCATTTTAGAGACTCACTGTTGTTTTTACTGCACACAAAACTAATACACACCTATAAAGAAAATGTAGATATTTCACAAATAATATAGAAATGAAAGAGTAACTTCTGCTACTGAGCTGTAGCAGTAGAAAATAATATATATATATTTTTTTTTAAGATTTTATTTATTTGAGAGGGAGAGAGAGAGAGTGAGTAAGAGCACAAGAGCCAGGGGAGGGAGAAGCAGACTCCCCGCTGAGCAGGGACCCTCCCCCCCCCCCCCCCAAGTGGGGCTGGATCCCAGGTTACTGGGATCATGACCTGAGCCGAAGGCAGACACTTAATTACTGAACCACCCAGGCACCCTAAGAGTATATATTTAAAGAAGGGCCTTCAGTATGGGACTACAGTGGACATTTTTAAAGTTCAGAGTAATGTACTTTTAAAAATCATGTATTACTCAAGTGATGGGCTTGATTTTTCTCTCATTTTAATTTTCTTGAAACTTAGAAAAATGAAATCTCCAACTGAATAATTCAGCTTTCCCACATAGTAAAATAACCCACTTTTTCTAACTTGTAGGCTAATAAACCTATAATCATTAAATCTGCCAATATTTTCTCTCTGGCTTTATTTAGTGTTTACACTGGTTTATTAATTCATTTAGAGTGAGAAGAGTAATTCTAATTCAAGAAAGTTGTGAGGGCAGTTTGTTTCGTTAATAAATCCTAGACTAGTACAATTATTCATTGACTCAATTCATATTGAACATCTACTATATGCAAGGTTCTTTTCTAGACACAAGGATTTCTGTTAGGTTGGGTGTATAGTAGTGAACATTCTAGTGAGTGTAAACAGACCAAAAAAGTTAATTATCATTACTAGATGATTAGGGATAATAGTACAGTAATAATTGCTATGAAGAAAAATAAAACAGGAAGTGCCAGAAGGAGAGGGCGGTCAGAATGGATCTCAATTCTGAGATGGTAACGTTAGCACAGAAACTTGAAGGAAGTAAGGAAGTGAGCCTTGTAGATATCTGGGGCTTTGAAGAGCATCCCAGATAGAAGGAACAGCAAGTGCAAAGGCCCTGAGTTGGGAGTATACCTGTTGTGTTAAAGGAAAAGCAGGAGCCAGTATAGCTGGATTGGAGTAAGAAAGCTGAATAGTAGATGAGGTGTCGGAGTAGTTAGAGTAAATAGGAAGAGTAGTGGCCAGATCATGTGTGGTCTTTCAGCCATTTTAGCAACATGGCTTTCACTTCAGATAACATGGGAAGCAGTTAAGACTTGGAGTAGAGCAGCATGATCTGCCATATTGAGCAGGCTGTGAAATGGGCATGTGGAGGAGTAGGGAAACCATTTGGAGGGCTATTGCAGTAACCAGATGAGAGATGATGATGAGAGGTAGGGAAAACATGGTCAGATACAGACCATGGAGAGAGAGCTGACAAAATTTGCTTATGGATTAGGTAGTGGTATGGAAGAAAAAGAGTCAAGGATGACTCCACAGCTTTTGACGTGAGCAATTGGGAGAGATTGAGTTGCCATTTACTAATAGTGGGAAGACTGCAGGGGAAGAAGTTTGGGAGGGAAAGATTAGTTTAGTTGCAGACATGTTAAGTTTAAGATGGAGGTGTCAAGCAGGCAATTGGTTATAGGAGTCCAGAGTTCAGCTATAGAGAAGTAACCAGAATTATAAGTAGTGATCCACATCCTTGAATCATACATGAATGACTTAGTGAGGCAAGATATAAAAACCTGCCTGTTGGGGCGCCTGGGTGGCTCAGTCGGTTAAGCGGCTGCCTTCGGCTCAGGTCATGATCCCAGAGTCCTGGGATCAAGTCCCGCATCGGGCTCCCTGCTCAGTAGGGAGCCTGCTTCTCCCTTTCCCTCTGCCTGCCTCTCTGCCTACTTGTACTCTCTCTCTCTATCAAATAAATAAATAAAAATCTTTAAAAAAATTAAAAAATTAAAAAAAAAAAAAAAAAAAAACCTGCCTGTTGTACATACACTTAGCCACTAAAGGTAATTAGAAGTCAGATTTCCCTATATCTAAGTCTCTACACTGGTAAGAAATTAAAAACAAAAAACACAGAATGGTTCTTGAGGAATTAGCTAAAATTCTGAAAAATGTGTTGTCAGATATTAAAAAGAAATAACATTTATTGATTGCTTATTATAGAAGACACCACTCTGAGCACTTTACATGTATTGCCTTTATAATCCTGGCTCCAGCAACCCCTTGCAGTGGTTCTAGGATTGTCACCATTTTACAGAGGAGGAGACTAAGGCTCAGAGTGGTTGAGTGACCTGTAGGAGGTCACATGGTTAATCTATCATAGGAACAGGATTTGAATCCAGACAGGCTGGCTCCAAAGCTGTATCCCTTCAGACTGGAGAGAGAAGAGAAAATGAAGATAGACATAAACACAGTAGGTAGAGAGCAAGATACAACCAGCCCCTGTGGACCACGAGCAGAAGGTTCTTTATCCAGCCAATCTTTGAAAATATAAGGGTAAATTTACACATAACTTTTTCCTGGAAAAAAAAAAATTTTTTTTTAAGATTTTATTTATTTATTTGACAGAGAGAGACACAGCGAAAGAGGGAACACAAGCAGGGGGAGAGGGAGAGGGAGAAGCAGGCTTCCCGCCCAGCAGGGAGCCTGATGGGGGACCTGATCCCAGGACCCTGGGATCATGACCCGAGCCGAAGGCAGACGCCCAACGACTGAGCCACCCAGGCGCCCTGCTGAAATTTGAATATGACTGTTTTGAAACACACAGAAAAGTTGAAAGAATTATACGATGAACATCCATATCTCCACCACCTAGATTCTACAATTAACTTTTTTTTAACAATTAACATTGCTTAATTTGCTTTATCATCTATCTACTGATCTTTCTATCCATCTGTCAATTCACCTTGCAATTCTGATGCATTTCAAATTAAGTTAAAGTCATCAGTATACTTTACCTCTAAACACTTGAGCTGCATGCATGATTCTGGAATTCACATTCAAAAATTAAACAAATACTGTTCGATTTAAATTAATTGCAAGTGAGTTAAAAGGGCTGAATGTGACTATAAAGAAATTCATGGAATTATCTGTCATGGGTTAAAGAATATTCTCTTGTTCCAAATATGAATGGGTAATATAGTGATGAAGTAATTTTCAACTCTGTTTACACAGAGGATGGGGAGGCACGTGAGAGGGATGAAATCCGGCATGATAGGCGAAAAGAGAGACAGCACGACAGGAATCTTTCCAGGGCAGCTCCTGATAAGAGGTGGGTGCTATTTGAGAGAAATGCAAATTATGAGGAGTGGGTTTTGTGAACCTTTTTGAGAAGAGGTTTAGTCCACTGAGACCAGTTTTGTTTCTCTCCCTTTCCTCTCTAGATTGATAACTTACTAAATCAGCACTTATTTTCTTACACTAAACTACCTACTTTTTCTTAGCAGAAGAATTGACTGTCCCTAAAAGAAATCCTTTCTCATCACCTTGTAGAGTTAGCTGGACTTGTGAATGACAGGGACATAGAAAAGGGAATTCAGATCATGTTTGTGAAAAGAAGGTAGTAGATAGGACTGTTCTGGTCTGTTCTTTTCCTATTTCAAGTGGTGAGACAAACTTATGCGCCTATTCCCCTAGACAGGGAAGAAGATTCTGTACCTTCATTGAGATCCTACGTAGATGCAGAGGGCCGTCCCGAGTACAATGGGGGAGAAGAGCAGATTTTGTGAGAAGTGAAAATTGGCCTCTTCTCATGAGTAGTTCACTTAAAATTCAGAAAGACAGAGCTACCATATAAAATTACTTGGGAAAATTAACACAACACTGCTAATAAGTACAGAACTGCATGGAACAAGCAAAATACATGTATGGGGACTTGCAGTAAAGTAAGGATTGGCAAAGTTTATGCTTCACCAAAGGCTGAGCACTGAATTCTGAGTGAGGGTTAAAATATAAAACATTTTCTTTCCATATGAGCAGTTTTCCATGTGCTCTAATCACTTTGTGAGCTGATACAATCCATTTTTTCAAGTCATGTCTTAAACATGAAAAAGATGATTCCTGCTGGTGGTGCTCTTTGTTATTTAATGGCATAGCTCATCTCCCTGGATAAGTGAAGTCATGGAGAAGCAGAAAATCTGTATTTAGAGTTGTGGGTAAATGTGCAGTGTAGAAGAGAGAGGAATGAATATGAAAGTGCACAATTAATGATACTCTTGGTCTGAAATTCCTAAGCTGTAAAAATCAAGAGGACTCTGTAGATAAATTGGGCCCTTAAAACCAGTAAAGTGGTTATGAGAATTGATAACATAGAAAAGCTGTAAACTTGTTATAGGGTGAAAATCAGGTTGTCTATAGAAATTATTTTAAGACCTGAGTTTCTGGTAAAATAAATGATGACGGTTACCATGGTTTCATTACAATGTAGATTGCAGACATACTGAAACAGCAGGGGAATTAAGATAATCTGAATATTGAAAATCATACTGAGTAATTCAGTCATTGACATGTTTTCCTCAAAATTCTAATAGGATAAAATTACTAAATGTGGTTTAGGTAAAGAACAGATTGTCTTATTGAAAGTGATTCATATGATACATCTGATTTGCATCCAGTCCCCCCACAGTCCTCATATAATAGCAAATACAGACCGTAGCAATTTCATATCTCAGCATGCTGTCCCTGTAAGGTGATTGCTTATTTTAAAGACTTCATGTCCAGAGTGAGTCTCTTGACAGTTCTTTTCAGCTAACAGGAAGGCCTGATTGTAAAACCCTACCTGTTCTAATAACCATGTCTCTGAAATGCTGTAAGGACTGCCAACCTGATTTTGCATTATCAGGGGATATATGTTCACAAGATATGAACAGGACGTATTCGTTAACTTTGCTTCTGAGATTGGTTGTATTTAAATTGAAATTCAGCTTGTCTGTGAAGAGTTTTGTTAGTGACATTGCATTTTGAAACAGGTCGAAACTACAGAGAAATGAAAATCGAGATATCAGTGAAGTCATTGCTCTTGGTGTGCCCAATCCTCGGACGTCCAATGAAGTTCAGTATGACCAAAGGCTTTTCAACCAGTCCAAGGTACAAGGAGTTTAGAAATAGCATGTCTTAAGTGTTGATGTGAATACCAGTCCTCAGGGAAAAGAAAACTACCATATCATAGATTGATCAGCCTAAGGTGTGCTGGCATAGTGAGAGAAAAAAATTAGAAGTTGCGTGTTGTGACTTACAGAACTGTTTTATCTTATTTCATCTTATTTGATGTAAGATGAAACAACTCTGATTTTGACCTCTTAAAGTTGGCTAAGATTTAAGACACTGGTAGAAAATGAAAGAAATAAGGTGACAAAACTTGGTTTTAGTATATCAGTCTTTTATTTATAAAGCCAGTGTCCTTCAAAAGTATCTCTTGGGTTTTTTGTTGATCTTTGAAAAACAAACTTAATGCTAAAGAAACATAACTTGAGATCTTTAAAAGGTGAAGCTATAAAACTAAATTTAAGTGCTACACTAGTTGTCAGGAAATGTGATTTCTTTTTTTTTTTTTTTAAGATTTTATTTATTTATTTGACAGAGAGAGACACAGCGAGAGAGGGAACACAAGCAGGGGGAGTGGGAGAGGGAGAAGCAGGCTCCCCGCAGAGCAGGGAGCCCGATGCAGGACCCGATCCCAGGACCCTGGGATCATGACCTGAGCCGAAGGCAGTCGCTCAACCAACTGAGCCACCCAGGCGCCCAGGAAATGTGATTTCTAATACCTATCATTATTAACTAGCTAGGATACATTAGGCCCGAAGAAGTGCCTTTATGTGTTCATCCACCCAACAGTGATTATATACTGTGCTAAAGACAATGAGATCAAAGATAGATATGCCTTTGCCCTCAAGGAACCTTCGAGTCTACTGGAAAAGATATATATGTATAAATAAGGACAGGGCAGACTGCAATAAAAATATGGAAGTATAATGTTCTACTGGGATACAGAGGGGAAAAATGTATTATGACTTGGAGGATTTAAGATTTGAAGGTAGCATTTGAGTAAGCTTTTCTAGTTAATAACTTATTGGGTACTTTTTTACATTCCTGGCATTGTTCTAAGTCTTTTATTATCTCAATCCTTACAAAAACCTATGAAGTCATACTATTTATTATAATCTCTACTTGTAGATGAGGAAATTGAGACACATAGAGGTTTAGCTAGAAATTGATAAAAGATTCAAACGTTTGATTTCAAAGGTTGTGTTCTTTAACACAATGCAATGGTAACTTACCAGCCTGAGCAAAGGGGTGTTAGGCATGAAAGTTCCACCTAAGTATTTATGACAGTCAGTCACCTGTTACAAGCTTAAGCTTATTTCAAAGCTGTGATAAAATTTTTTCTAAAAAAGCACATCCCTGTATTAAGGAACCATCCAAATATATGAAAAAATTTGTTCATTGTTGACTTAGGATTTTCATTAAGAGCCTTATTGTCCCATGCTATAATAGTGATGTTCTCAGGGAGTTAAGGGGTATAGCATTATTATTCTAAATGCCTTGAGATACTGTCAATACAGCGTCCAACTCTTAATCTTGGGGTTGTGAGTTCAAGCCCCATGTTGGGCAAAGAACTTAATTACTTAATAAGTAAATAACATCAGATAAATACTTTATAGTTCTTTTGTCTTCTTGCCACTGTCTATACAACTGAAATTGTTAAGTACCTGCTTACACTATCCAATTTTAATGACTACTTCACTGAAGTGGTCAAACTTGTTAATTAGCACTTTTAGGACCAAAGGTGGTAAGAATAAAAGTTTATGGACTTTGTTTTTTTATGAAGATCTTTTTAATTTGCAGTTCAGATTGCTGAAAATGCACTATAAATGATTACATGAATGTAATCAGATCCAACTTTTAATAATACATTTTTATTTAATGTCCTTTTCCCACAGGGTATGGACAGTGGTTTTGCAGGGGGAGAAGATGAAATTTACAACGTTTATGATCAAGCCTGGAGAGGTGGTAAAGATATGGCCCAGAATATTTACAGGCCCAGTAAAAATCTGGACAAGGACATGTATGGTGATGACCTAGAAGCCAGAATAAAGACCAACAGGTACCAAGGCAGACAGCTCAGTTTCACTGTTTGCACCAGTAAAAACAAAGTAGTTCATAGTCCTTTCTTTTTTTCCCTAGATTTGTTCCCGATAAGGAGTTTTCTGGTTCAGACCGTAGGCAAAGAGGCCGAGAAGGACCAGTTCAGTTTGAGGAAGATCCTTTTGGTTTGGACAAGTTTTTGGAAGAAGCCAAACAGCACGGTGGCTCTAAAAGACCCTCAGATAGCAGCCGCCCCAAGGAACATGAGCATGAAGGCAAGAAGAGGAGGAAGGAGTAGATACACCTCTCTTCAAAGTGAATGAACTTTTATCCATAACCCTAATGATGCAAGTCAGATGGGCAAACACTTTGTAAATGGCCAGGATAAAAACCAAATCTGGGTGTCAGACCCCAGCACTACTTTTTATTACGGGAGTAAGGGGTGGGGGGGGATGGAAAATTCTTTGAACTATTTAGTTTTTTTTAAAGAGTGGGTTGTGTTTGTGCTTCTCCTCCCTTTTGGCATTTATAGAACATATTGCCCCACACATGAAATTAAGACCACTTCCTTTTATGTGACATTAGTACTTTGGGGTTAATATTTTGTGTAAGAATGACTGCTGATGAATAAAGTTGCCCCAACCACAGGGAGTAGAAGGATGTTCACATACTGGAACTGTCCTGCCAAATGACGTTTGCCCCTATTACGCTCTGTTTTAATTTGGAGTGGGGAAAGTAAGCTCTTGCTTGGTGCAACTATTTGTTTCAAATAAAAACATTTAGAGAAAATTTTTAATTTTGTTTACTTTAATAGGTAGTAATAGTCTCAAAAATCTTTCTCTTCATCAGATGTTTGATCCCCTTGCAAAACTTTTGGTCTTTGAGCTTGAACGTGGAGCTAAAAAAAATCAAATTAAGCATTGTAAGGAAAGACAGTATCTGCAAAAACTTTCAACTGAAAATTGCCACTTTAAGACTGCCTATTTATGAGGGAGTCAGCACCAGTAAGTCAAGAGGATGTTATTTGTTCCCTGGTCTTAAGACTAAATCAGTTTAACCCAAGGTTGCATAGTAAGTGGCAAAGCCAGGATTTCAACCCCAGTCTCCTTACCTTGTAAGTAGACTGCTGTTCTGTGTTAGAATATACCTTGCTAACTATTAAAGGGTCTTCCTAAACTACCCTCCCCAGACATTTCAGAACGGGCACTCTACCACCACCACCATTCTTTAACCAATATTAAGGGAACTTCAGTTACAAATCTCCCAATGTCCTTGTCATTCCATACTTCTGACCTTCTAAACTGATGATATACAGAAAGCTCATGATGTTATACAGAAAAATAATATTTACCTTTACTCCATCAAGAATATGATTTTCTTGCTGTAGTGCATTCTGAAGTTCTTCTTCTGAAGAAAACTGAATCCAACCCATACCTCTGTGAAATCCAGTCTCTTTGTCCTAAAAATTCAAAATTTAGAAAAGATTAATCATGAACTGGAGAAAGTTTCCATAAGCTCCAAATCAAATTACCAACTTTTTCATCTGCCAAAATGGGATAACTGACATTTTAATAAATGTCAAAAACCTTGCTTTGATACATACTTACTCTCCTAGTTACCAAAGGTTAACCCTTGTGTTAATCTTAACATTTTGCTTTTCTGCTGCCATTGGAAGAAGTAAAATACAGGTAGTGAGGTTTCTGTCATTTGAGATACAAACTACACTAACAATAATAAAGGGACTTTAAAAAAATTTTTTTTTTTTTATTTCATTTATTTGACAGACAGCAAGAGAGGGAACACAAGCAGCGGGAGTGGGAGAGGGAGAAGCAGGCTTCCCGCGGAGCAGGGAGCCCTATGCGGGACTCGATCCCAGGACCCTGGGACCATGACCTGAGCCAAAGGCAGACGCTTAATGACTGAGCCACCCAGGTGCCCCAATAAAGGGACATTTTGATCACAAAGAAACCCTCTAACTTCCTCACTTTTAGAAACTAAAAAATTAAGCCTCAAAACCTAGTTCATTTCTGGTTATTTTGGAGACCAATTACGCTCATCACCACCACTACCATTATAATTATATAGTCCTAATGAAAAATAGAAAAAATATATATATACATTACCCTTATTTACCTAGCTCCAGACTTACAGTAACGCTACTTCCCTTTGTGCAAAAGGCAGAGTGCTTATCATCCAACCTATACACAGCACATGTGGAAAAGATTCTAGTGTGTTTGGATGCACCCTGCCCCCACCCGACCAACCCGACTACTTAAGAACGGATATAAAGATGTCTATTCACTCAGTGTACCTCATCAATCTTGTTACAAAGTTATGTTGTGCTCTGCACCACCCCCCAAACCAAATTTTTAGAAATTGCCCCCATATTTAAAAGGTGACTTTAAGTCTTAACCTAGACTGCAGTAAAAGTTTCTGGTAATATCCCAGTGATTCACTTCTTACCTCAGATAGCTACAATTTCTCCTCTACTTCCATATGGCCATTTCTGTAAGTAAAAGCCTTAAAAATTTTGTGTTTATGTAAAACTTAGGTACTATGTATCTAAGATACAGGAACCTGGATTTCTGGGCGCCTGGGTGCCTCAGTCAGTTAAGCATCTGCTTTTGGCTGGGATCAAGTCCCACATCGGGCTCCCTGCTCAGTAGTAGCCTGCTTATCCCTCTTCCTTTGCCTGCCGTTCCCTCTGCTTGTGCGCTCTGACAAATAAATAAAATCTTAAAAAAAAAAAAAAATTTTCTCCTGTTACATTTTACTTAGTTTTAGCAAGAATCAAAGTTTTCTTTTGTTTAAATCTAAGATGTTAACTCCAGGTCCTAAATAATCTTGCTTATACTTTTAAGAATGAAATGGCAACCAAGAAAAATGTGTTACTATTTTTGGAGATATTTTTAAGTAGGTTCCACACCTATCTAGCGTGGAGCCCAAAGCAGGGCTTGAATTCACAACCCCTGAGATTGAAACCTGAACTGAGATCAAGAGTCAGACACTTAATGGACTTAGCCACTCAGGTGCCCCAGGAGAAGTTTTTTTTAATGCTCATCAAAAAAAGAGAAATTTCATCCTCTTTGTAAAATTGTAGTTTTTAAGCTTATAAACATTTTTGTGTAATAGTTGTGCCTCGTTCTTTTAATCAACTATTAAAACTCCATTGTATCAATGAATTAATACCTATTTAATCCCATTAATGAACATTTACGTTCCTTCCAGTTATATTATTAAACAATGCTGCTTTGAACATTCTTGACCACACCATTTCTGTAGAATAAATTCCTAAAAATGGAATTGCTAGATCAAAGCAAATGCAAATTCTTAGTTTTGATTTTGCCAAACTACCCTTCAGAAATGAAGTAAACTTCTGAACAATTTCAGTGCCAGCTTCCCTATACCCTCACTAGCACCAGAGATGAGTAATCTATTAGATCCCTGGAATGCAACTAACATGAAATCAAGAGTTAAGAATTTTAATTACTTTAGGTTAATATTTTGCCATAGCCTTTTCAGTGCCATGAGGAAAAAAGGGGCAGTTTTAGTGAAGCAGCTGAAGTGAACTATAGTGTACTCCCAATCCACCCCCAAAAACGCAGTAATTCTAGAAAATACAAATACAGCCCAGGATAAAGTAGAACAAATTTAGAAACTGATTTCTAAATCTTCCTTAGAAAGCAAAGAAAATATAACAAATATAAAAACACTAAAAAAAAAAATAATTTAATAAGGATAAAGTTTAAAATAGATATTCTCTGCCAATTAGTTTGATGATAAAATCATCCTCTAGTATCAAGTCCTTATTATAATACTGGAGTAGGCAGAATTCTAAGATAGTTCCATGATCTCCACATGTCCCACTATGTTAACCCTCTGAATAACCCCCTCCTCTTGGGTGTGTGAGGGACCTGTAACATGCTTCTAACCAAAAGAATATGGCAAAAGTGATGGGATGCTGCTCCCCTGATCAGGTTACATAGCAAAGGTGATGTGATGTCACTCCCATGACTATGTTACAAGGCAGTCTTAACAGAATGGAGAAACTCCTCTGATGACTGAAGAAGTAAGCTGCCATGCTGGGAGACAGCCTACACACCTGCCAGGTAACAAGGAACTGCAGGTCCCTACAAGCTGAAAGCCAGCAAAAAAGTAGGTATCTCAGTCCTACAGTTCAAAGATGACTTCTGGGGGCACCTGGGTGGCTCAGTTGGTTGGGTGACTGCCTTCGGCTCAGGTCGTGATCCTGGAGTCCCTGGATCGGGTCCCACGTCGGGCTCCCTGCTCGGCGGGGAGTCTGCTTCTCCCTCTGACCCTCCCCCCTCTCATGTGCTCTCTCTCAAATAAATGAATAAAATCTTAAAAAAAAAAAAAAAAAAAAGATGACTTCTGTCAACAACCTGAGAGAGCTTGAAAATCAGTCTTTCCCAGTTGAGCCTTTGAGCCTCTGATGAGACCAAAGCCCCAGCTCATGCCTGACTGCAGCTATGTGAGACCCTGAGCAGAGGACCCAGCAAGGCTATGCCCAGACTTCTGATCTGCAGAAACAGTGAGTTAATATATATGTGTGTTGTTTTGAGTCATTAAGTGTGTGGTAATTTGGGGCACCTGGGTGGCTCAGTTGGTTAAGCATCTGCCTACAGCTCTGGTCATGATCTCAGGGTCCTGCAATCGAGCCCCACATCAGGCTCTCTGCTCAGCTGGGAGTCTGCTTCTCCCTCTCATTCTCCTTCTGTGCTTTCCCTCTCTCTCTCTCAAATAAATAAAATCTTCAAAAAAAAAAAAGTGTGTGGTAATTTGTTATACAGGATAAGGCTTTTTTTACTTTTTAATCACTATCACCCACAATTTTATCAATAAACACTATGAATAGCTTCACTCGATTAAAAGTCATATAAGCTGATATGCTTTAACAAACAGTCAAGAGTTCGAGGATAAAATTAGAAGATCAATAATTAAAAGATAACATTTTTTTAAAAGATAATACTCACAAAGGGTACAGTGCACTTTCGTACATGGCCAAACTGTGCAAAGTGTTCTCTCAGCTCACCTGTATAGGAGGAGAAAACATGTTAAAAGTAGTTAATTTATTAGTTAATACATTTGGGACACCTGGCTGGCTCAGATGGTAGAGCATGTGACTCCTGATCTCAGGGTTGAGTTCAAGCCCCACGTTGGGCATAGATTACTTTAAAAAAAAAAAAGTAGTTAATGTATTTTGTATCCTCCATCCTAGACTGGGGACCTAGAGTCCCCAAACTTCTTGTGAACAGGAACTACCATTTGCATTTCCTTGAAGCCTTAAGATTTAGGAAGTCGCTATGGTATTGACTACAGATCTTCCTCAAGTTATGATGGGGCTACATTGATAGAACTGTCATAAATTGACAATATCCTAAGTTGAAAATGCATTTAATACACCTAACCTACTGAACATCATAGCTTAGCCTAGCCTACCTTAAACATGCTCAGAACACTTACATTAGCCTACAATTGGGCAAAACCATCCAACACATAGCCTATTCTATAATAAAGTATTGAATTTCTCATGTAATTCATTGACTACTGAAAATGAAAACCAGAATGGTTATATGGGGACAAAATGGCTGTAAGTCTATCAGTTGTTTACCCTCGTGATCACATGGCTGACTGGGAACTGCACCTTGCTGATGCTGCTGCCTCGCATCACAAGAGAGTATCATACTGCCTATCACTAGCATGGGAAAAAAATCAAAATTGAAAATTTGAAGTATACTTTCTTTAGAATGCCTATCACTTTCACACCA